AGAGTGCAAGTCTGTGGGAAACACCGCTTCTGTTATGAATATTATTTAATATTTTAATTTGGTCGGATTGAAATGAACATCGCTGTTATTAGAGTAGTTAATCGTTAGCATAAGCGCGGCTAACGCTAATATAATGAGCATTAGAATGAAGTTACTTTATTAACTATTTAATGCTCCTATAACTTTTATTAGGGTAAAAAAAACAGGAGGACATTTACTATTTTTACACACCAGAGACTTTTTAATGAATTGTGAATCTAAAATATGCGTGTTAGAGAATGTACAAATAGCCCTTTGAAATTAAATATGTACACAGTTTGGATTAAATTAAAGTATAGCCCAAATTTTTAATTAGCATGTTTTTCTGTTTTGCTTTGGTACCGAAATTGGTACCGAGAACCGTGGATTTTCACTGGTATTGGTACCGAATACTGAAATTTTGGTACCATGACAACACTACTTTCTTTCTTTACTTTATTAATACATGTACCTGGTTTTATTATGATCAATTCATTAGTTCATGTTGTTTTCAAAGAAACTTGAAGTTCAAAGAAATTCAATCTCTTTGTAATTTTTCATCATTATGTATAAACTGGTTCTGCGTCTAAAATTACTTGTTGGCTTAAAAGTGCATGCTACTGTTTAATGTTAACCAATAGTCAAATAACTATTTAGTGGGGATGTAACGATATTACCAATATCGTGATATCGCTATAGCAAAAGTGTCTCAATATTATTGTGGTCACATGACGATATGAAACGATAGGTCTTCTGGGCAAAAAGTGTAGTTTTTAAAATATATTTAAACTACTTATTCTAACATAAAAGGAGTTGAAAGTTGTGTTTTGGGCCATTATGCTTTGGCACAGTATCTGTCAAACTAACTAAAACCGACAGCACAATATGGCTCAATCCCTTCATCACGTCTGTTTTCGCTGCGTGATTCAAAGCGAAGCGCACATTTCGTTCAGGTGATCAGCTCATGATCCGGTGTTTAAATTCGTTTATTGCAAGTGCTGTGAGTTTAGCGTGCGTTTGGGAATGCAACAGCCACCATGCTTTATTTTCACGGCAGATGATTGCAGCATTTCACTAGATTTGTAGTGAGACGCATTTTTGTAAGCCTGTTTTCACTGAAGCTGGAGATTTCCTTCAAAATAAAAGCTCTACAGCTGTTTCCGCCAAAATAAATCTTAAAAGTGCAGTATGAATTGCTGACAGCTAGCAGTTTAAATGCAGACCAAATTCAAAATATCTCTTTTCAAGTGTAGAAATTAGTTAAGAAGTATTGTAATTTCCCTACTGTAGTATAAAGCAAAAATAATATACCTATGAAATATTCATTTTCATTTATTTTACAGTGCAGTTGTTTTACAATATATGGCTACTACTGTCATTTATTATTATTATTATTATATTCTAATTTGTTTGGCTTCTAAAACACCAGTGTGAATGTAATTTAGACTGAGACAATATATCATAAATAAAAAGAGGGTTGAGTCCCCTTTAAAGTT